CGAGCCCGCCGCCGAGCCCGCCGCCCAGCGGGGCGCCCGCGGCCGCAAGGCCGACAAGGCCGACAGGGCGGGCAGGGACAGGAAGCAGATCCAGACCTCGCCGGTGCCCGAGCGCAGGAGCAGCAGGGACGAGGAGAAGAGGGAGTCCCGCATCAAGAGCTACTCCCCGTTCGCCTTCAAGTTCTTCATGGAGCAGCACGTGGAGAACGTCCTCAAGACCTACCAGCAGAAGGTGCACCGCAGGCTGCAGCTGGAGCAGGAAATGGCCAAGGTCCTGCCCGCGGCGCGGCCCGCCCGCCTGTGCCCGCGGGGGTGGGGAGCGCGGCGGCTCCGTGCCCGGCCCGCACCGGCCTAGCAGAGCCCGGTAGCGCTGTGTGATTAGATAGTGTGACTTTCATCTTTAGCAAATTCCATCAAGGTTTACTTACCGGTAATATAATACGTATTTTGAAAGAGCAGAAACAGAGTTTGAGGTTTTAGAAGTTGATACTGGGTGGTTTTTTTTTTAAGAAAAGGCTAGTCTTTAAGTCTTGTATTAGTAAATAATCTTTTAAACATATGTTACTTGCACTACAGTGCTAAAGTGGGTAATCACTAATGAACTTCACATTAAAATGTAACAGTAAATTTAAATCACACCAAGCCAGCCTTTCCAAACTCTACAAATCAAATGTTGCGTCCCATATTCACGGACTTTTGCATTTTCCCATTTCCCCTGAGCTACTTGCTCTTGGACTTCCAGAATGTTGTGGTCCCTCTCCTGTAGACTTTTATTAACAGAGGTTTAGTTTTTAGAGTCTAAACTCACCTAGAGAAAGAACTCTTATCTCTGACCTTTTGATTCCTGATCTGTATCACTATGTAGATATAAAAAACACACAAAGGATTATTATTTTGCAGGTAGTATAATAGAGCCTTCTCTACTAGAGTCCTGTCCCGCCCAGGGTGTCCCTGCCCCAGTCCCGCGCCGCCCTGGGATCCCTCTGGTGACCTCTCTGGTTTCCCTTGTCTGCAGGCGGGACTCTGTGAGGCGGAGCAGGAGCAGATGAGGAAGATCCTCTACCAGAAGGAGTCTAACTATAACAGGCTCAAGAGGGCCAAGATGGACAAGTCCATGTTCGTGAAGATCAAAACGCTGGGGATCGGTGCCTTTGGAGAAGTCTGCTTGGCCTGTAAGGTAGACACGCATGCCCTGTATGCCATGAAGACCCTGAGGAAGAAAGATGTACTCAACCGGAACCAGGTGGCCCATGTCAAAGCCGAGAGGGACATCCTGGCCGAGGCGGACAACGAGTGGGTGGTCAAACTGTACTACTCATTCCAAGACAAAGACAGCCTGTACTTCGTGATGGACTACATCCCCGGGGGAGACATGATGAGCCTGCTGATCCGCATGGAGGTCTTCCCGGAGCACTTGGCCCGGTTCTACATTGCGGAGTTGACTTTGGCCATCGAGAGTGTCCACAAGATGGGCTTCATCCACCGAGACATCAAGCCGGACAACATTTTGATAGATCTGGATGGCCACATCAAACTGACAGATTTTGGACTCTGCACTGGATTCAGATGGACTCATAATTCCAAATACTACCAGAAAGGTATTTTCTTAGGCACACTGTTGCACCCGTGGACCTAGCCCGCCCACACGAGGCCGCTGTTCCCCATCCTGTGGCTCCTACTTGCTGTAAGGCCGTCCACCACTCCTGTATCGCACACTTCGGTGTGGACACTTGCCTTCCCTAAAGGAAGACAATGACACATAAGAATTTATCTTTCTGAAGTTAGTGCCCTTAAGTTTTATTACACTTCACACCAATAGGTCATCACAAGGCCTTTGTGGAAGATCATTGTTCTGCCCTAGTAAAACAAGCCATAAAAGTGAAGCTGTCAAACGTGAGAGTGGTGGCATGCACCTGTACTTTGTGATGGTCTGCCTCCCTCGGGGGGACATGAGGAGCCTGCTGATCCGCGTGGAGGTCTTCCCTGAGCACCAGAGAAGCACCAGGCGTCCCTGTGGTCTCCGCTGCTTAGGAGACTGACAGCTTGAGCCCAGATGTTCAGGGCTAGCCTGGGCAACCGAGTGAGTCTCTGGCGCAAAAAATAAGTCTCAGAGCCCCCAGAGAGTCGTGTCTCGAAGCTGGCCTGAGACTGGGTTTACCTCCATGTTCTGTGGTTCCGCTATTTGGAGAGGTCAGAACAGCTGGTAATGATCTTCCTTAGGGCTGGGAGGCCCGAAGGAGCTACTTTAGCGCCACAGCACGGTCCTTTTTTTTTCCTTAAACTGAACACTACCCTAAGTTATGTGCATTTTCTGGAGCTGAAGTGACTTCTGTTCATATTTTTTAAAACCTCTTGGGTTTTTCCATGCTTACCATAAAACGTGTCTTGCTAGACAGGTGTTAGGCTTTTGCCACTGTGCTGAGAAGTGCTGGGAATGACGTCCCCGAGGCCGTCCAGCCTGTGTGGCGGTGGTGTCCCGCGGCAGCTTGCACAGTGCAGTTTGCTGTCGCTGCTCCCACACCTCTGCCGCGGTGCCAGCTGTCACCGCGCAGCGCCGTCTCAGGACCAGGAGCAGCAGCTGCCCTGTGGAGCAGGTGTCCTGCCTGCCAGCAGCGGCTGTAGTTACTTCTGTCCGAGGCTGTGGAGTTGTTACGTTGCTGAGTAGTGAAAATGCACAGAATGTTTTGTTCTGTTCTCTCCCCACCCCCCATTTCCAGGTGATGGGAACCACATGAGGCAGGACAGCATGGAGCCCAGTGACCTCTGGGACGACGTGTCCAACTGTCGCTGTGGGGACAGGCTAAAGACCCTGGAGCAGAGAGCCCGGAAGCAGCACCAGCGGTGCCTGGCGCACTCCTTGGTCGGGACCCCGAATTACATCGCCCCCGAGGTGCTCCTGCGCAAAGGTGCGCCCGCCCAGCGCTCCAGCTGGGGCTCTGCTTTCCGGGAGGCCAGACACTCCCGTGGTGTGTGTGTCTGAGGAAGACTGACCGCTGTGGAGTCTCCCTAGCAGACCAGCCTCCAGCTCTGGTCAGGAGGTGCCTCTGTCTCGTGCACCGTTAGGCCAGTGCCACCCCCCCTCCTCTGGCTGGGATGTACGGGGCGTGAGCTTCTACCTGGCCGCGGGGGTGGCTTTGGAACTGCCTTCGACCAGCTCGCGTGGTGGAAACAACATGACCACAGGCCGGCGTGCTCGTTCTCCCTGAGCGGAGCCCCTAGTCCCCTCCAGCCTAACGCCCACTGAGTCACGCCGGGGCTCGCGCACAAATGCTGTTCTCCTCCAGTTCTCCCGCTCCTCCCCACGCCCCTGGGAAATAAGACGTGCAGACCGTAGTGGGTGTGAGGCCGTCAGTGTTCCGTGAAGTGTCTGCCAGCTGGGTGCTTTGTTCTGTCTCACGTATGACGTGTGGCTCAGAATGAGCAAGACCCTCCAGGGCCCCTGCGTGACCCGTGGCAGTAGCGGGCTGGGGGTCCGGCCCTGTGCGACACCTCGGGACACGGGCAGCCTCCTCCTCGCTTGCACGTTTGAAGTCTTTGGAGCCAGCCAGGCCTAGTCCGCGCGAGGTTTGCGCTGTCGCTTGTGGTGGCCCCAGGTGGGTCCCGAACAGCTCGGTGCCGTGAGTGTAGCAGCAGTACCTGGTACCCCGGGAGGGCTTTGCGTGCCCCGCCCTGTGCAGTTCAGGCCCGTCTGCCGTGCCAAGTGGAGGACAGAACTGGGAGGCAGAGGGCACCCATGGGCTGACCTCACAGCCCGGTTCCACTTAGCAAGGGTTGGGTGACGCTGAGATGAGCCTGGCTGGCTGGCGTGCCGGGGACCTCACGAACCTGCCCCCTGGAGTCCTAGGGTTGCCCTGACCCCCCGCTGGGGGTCGCACTGAGAGCTCAGCTGAGCCGTGCAGCCCCTGCCACGCCTGCACCGCACCCCACATTCTGTCCCCTCCCAGGCACCTCCGGAGCCCCCCCCGGGGCCTCAGCTGGCCTCTGTCAGCACGCGCTTTGCGGTTCGGGGACTCTGTCATTTTCGTTTGTCTGTGTGATCGGCTCTGGTTGGTCACGAGTATTGTTACCAACAATAGCCTTACCTTTTAAATGAAAAGAATGTTTCTTGTGAAAATGCCCCGTGCTTATCACAGACTAGTGACTGAAAGTAAGGACACAGAAGCGGCCTCAGCCCTCGTGAGTGCGGGTGGCCCGCGGGAGCCCCGGCCGCCGTCACCCCATGCACCTCGGCGGCTCCCGAGCCTCCTGCGGGCTCGGGTCACAGCCCGTCGTTCAGGGCCTTCCAGACGTCGCCTCGGGAGGCCACCCTGCCCCGGGGTTGAGCAGGCTCTGTCTTTCAGGGTACACGCAGCTCTGTGACTGGTGGAGCGTTGGCGTGATTCTCTTCGAGATGCTGGTGGGGCAGCCGCCCTTTCTGGCTCCCACCCCGACGGAAACCCAGCTGAAGGTAAGCAGCCACGAGCGAGTCTGCGGCCGCGCACTGCCCCCTCCGCACGCGCTCCTGGGTTGGCGTCAGACCTCCTCTTCTGAGTGGGGTGGGAATGACAGCTGGAGGTTGCAGGACTTCGAAAAAGCAAAGCTGTCTTTTTAAATGACAAGTGTCCCTTCCCTTCCCTTTCGTTAGGAGAAGCCAGCCCAGTAGGCACGAGGTAGCATCTCCTTGTGGTTTTCATCTGTATTTCCCTGTTAGTTAGTGGTGTTGAGTATATTTTCATGTGTTTATAGCCATTTGTATAATCTTGGAGAAACAACTATTCGAGTCCTTTTTCCTTTTTTAAGAAAATCCTGTGTTGTTGAGTTGTAAGAGGTCTTTATTCCGAATACTAACTCCTTTTCAAATACATGCTGCACAGAGATGCCCTTGGGGCGGTGCCTCTTCACTCAGTCAGTGATGTCCTTTAAGGCCCCTAAGTTTTTCATTTTTGCAGTTCTTTTATTGCCTGTGTTTTGGTGTCATATCTAAGAAATCATTGCCAAATCTGTCATGAAGATTTGACCCTGTTTTCTGCTCTGCATTTCCTGCTTTGGGCTCTACTAAAAGCTCCTGGGTTTAAAGCAACCCTCCGAGGTAGGCAGGCACTCGCCCGCTCGCACGCCGCACCCAAGCCTCGTCACCCTCACGGTGGCAGCGAACGCTGGCCTCCATCCTCCTGTGCCAAGTGTGAACCGCGCAGCTGCGGCTTTGGTTTTTGCCTCACACTGGGCCCAGCAACGTGACGGGTGTGTTTAGCGAACGTCAGCTGGCGGGTCGGCTTGGTTGGGCATCACACGCGGAAGGCAAAGCGCAGGAGCAGTCCCCTGGCGCCCCTCCTCTGCGCGGCTACCTTTTTTCTCCAAAACCCACTGACCGTCTCCGGCTGAGACGGGCCCTGAGCGAGCGCCGTGATGACTCACAGAAAGCCAGTGCCACGGGTCATTCGCTTCATTTTCGTAGGAAGCACAGAACTCTTTGGCGAAAGAGAATGTCTGGCAGAAGAAAATTAATACCCTTTTGTCTGCGTTTGGGAGCCCCCTGCTAAAAGCTCGCTGACTATTGCTGCTCAGATCAGCTGCCCCGTGGGTGCCCTGTTCTCACGGCCCTCGTCACGGCGGGAGCACCGCCTGGGAGCCACCCCAGCTTGGCCCAGTCACGGGGGGAAGCTAAAACTTGGTTCTGTCGCCTGCAGGTGATAAACTGGGAGAGCACGCTGCACATTCCCGCCCAGGTGAAGCTGAGCCCCGAGGCCAGGGACCTCATCACCAAACTGTGCTGCTCTGCGGACTGCCGCCTGGGGCGGGACGGGGCCGCCGACCTGAAGGCCCACCCGTTCTTCAGCACCGTCGACTTCTCCAGCGACATCCGCAAGCAGCCGGCCCCCTACGTCCCCACCATCAGCCACCCCATGGACACCTCCAACTTTGACCCCGTGGATGAAGAGAGCCCTTGGAACGAGGCCGGCGAAGGCAGCGCCAAGGCCTGGGACTCGCTTGCCTCCCCCAGTAACAAGCACCCCGAGCACGCGTTCTACGAGTTCACGTTCCGGAGGTTCTTCGATGACAACGGCTACCCCTTCCGGTGCCCGAAGCCCTCAGGGGCAGAGACTGCGCACTCGGAGAGCTCAGACCTCGAAAGCCCCGAGCTGGCGGATGAGGCCGAGGGCTGCCAGCCCGTGTACGTGTAGCGGCACCGTGTGCCCGCGGCTGCGTCGGGAGGGCCGCGGCCCGGCTGCTTCCCCGCGGCTGGCGGGAGCCGGGGGTAGCCTTGCCTTCAGCCGGGCTGCTGAGTACCCGCTGAAGTTCTGCCCTTCAGGAAAACCCCAGAGCAACCAGGAACTTTTTTAAAGAAAGGACTGAAGCCTGGCAGACCTTCGTTTCTAGGTTCTGGCCCATGGGTGGCAGGGAGGGTTCCACGTGGCTTTGAACTGGCGTTGGGGGGCCTTCGCTGCATTAAAACAATATTTTTAAAAATTTAGTACAGTTTAGAAAGCACTTATTTTGTTGATAACCAGTTTTTCTTACTAAATTATAGGGATTAACTTTGACAAATCATGCTGCTGTTATTTTCTACATTTGTATCGTATCCATAGCACTTACTCACATTTAGGAGACAGAAGAACTGAAGAACATGTGATAAGAAATCTCTGTGCAATAATGTTTGAAAAAGACGATGCTCTGCTGAGAGCTCACGGAGACCACTGTATCCACACGGTGATTTTTGTTTTGTATTCTTTCCCACATTTCAGAATTGTGGCATAATGTTAAAGCTGCTTTGCTGTTGTTGTTTTTGCATGTTACAGTGCTGTAACAAAGCGTGAGCAAAGTGATGACGTGGGTGTGGTTTCCGATGTCTGGTGTGTGGGAAGTGCCGTACTGCACGAGCAGGGTTTTTCTATTGTAAAATTACCATATCTTGCCATTCACAGCGGGTCCTGTGAATATGTTTTTACCGAGTGTTTTTAAATGAGGTATTCTAGACAGCGTGCTTACTATGTACCGTGCGGGTGATGTCTTTGCTGTGATTGTAGCCCGTGCTGTTTTGTGAAAGAAACGCAGATGTGTAAATGAGAAGTGATTTGTGCGTGCGTGTGTATGTCTTGGGTATGATTGCATTCTTTTGGGGATAAATGTAAACGTTTTCCGTACAGCAAACTTTATGCATTAAAAGGGATTAATTCAGCTATGCCAAAACATTTAAGTTACCCTATGTCCTTCCATGTCGTCAGTCTGTGCTGTCCTTCTTGATGTAGCTGGTATGTGGAATTCAGTAGCTAGGACCCTACTATTTAATTTTTACTGACGCACTGCCCACACCGAGAGGTTACATGAACGTTACTCCTTCTGTTGTCTCGGGCAGCTGAGAGGTTGCCACACTGAATTAAATAAACTTATCGTCCTTTTGCTTTGTTTTAAATGTGCTTTGAAGTGTCAGTTTTCACCTTGGTTTAAACAATACCAAGTTTTTCTAACTTTTGTAAAAAAAAAAAAACTTTTTTTAAAGCAAAGATTCTTCAAAGTGACATTGAAATGAAAACCATTAAACCATACATATTTTCCTAGACGTATAGGTGTATATATGACTATATAGATAAACACACAGAATATTCCTTACTTCAAATTAGTATGATTTCTATTTGAAGTGATTTATATTTGAGTAAAAATTCAATTCTTTTTTGCTCTTTGAAAGATCTGATGCATCCTATTTTCATTATATTAGTCCACATATTTTCCTTGACATTCTTAGCGTAATGTATCCATTATTATTATATATCTAGGCAACAACACTTATAAGTTTATCAGTGTCTAAAGAACATTCTGTGTACTGGTTTACATTTGTATGAATGGCATATCCTGAAGTCTGCTGTGCTCGTATTGTGACTTACAGTATTCGCGCTATTTTGTAGTAATGCTATGTTGTTATTTACAGCGCTCTGACATACTTTCATGTGGTAGGTTCTTTCTCAGGAACTCAGTTTAACTATTATTTATTGATATATCATTGCCTTTGAAAAGCTTCTATTGGCACAATTTATTATTAAAACTTTGAATCCAAATCCCGTGGTTGGCGTCTTGTGTTACTGAATTTGAATCCTGCTGTTAGCTGGCACAAGCTGCTGACACAGCCACTGTCATCAGAGGTGGGGGGACGCACCCCGGACAGGCTTCGTGTCAGGAAGGGCTCGCGGAGGGCAGGCTGCACGCGGGCTGTGGTTCTGTGGCCACTGTCTGTCTGCTGTGAAATGATAGAATCGGCCTCTGTAGGGTTGTCGAGTGGATTCAGTGGGGCAGCAAGTGGACGTGGTAGGTGGTAAAATAAGTCGTAACTGGGAGCTAATTCCCCCGCAGCAGCAGCATCCTGAAACAGGACAAGCACAGGGCACAAACTTCCATGCAAAATGGTGGCTGGAGAGGCCGGGTCTACCCCCAGGAGTAGAAGACTTGCCCGAGTGAGCTTGAGGCCCTGGTTCAGTCCCAGACACTGTACAAATAAGAACAGGTAGTGGTATTAAGCTCGGGAAAGCACTTTGCTTTGGGCTTGTCCTTTGAGTGTAGTCACATGACTTGAAAGTGGAAACAGGAAAGGAAAACCTCCCACTTCATTTCTAGTCACGCCTTTCATCTCCCCACAGGTGATGGTAGTTGTAAATCCTGAAACAGAATACGTAGTATATATAAGAAAATGACTATGTACTTTTTTGTCTCTTACAGAAATAGAATATTACATTGCCAGGCGTGGTGGCACACACCTGTAATCCCAGCACTCGGGAGGCTGAGGTGGGAGGATCGTTGCAAGTTCGAGACCAGCCTGAGCTACAAAGTGAGCTCAAGGCCAGCCTGAACTGCATAGCGAGACCCTGTCTCAAAAAAGACAAGAAAAAAAAATGATGGACACTTGGGGGTTTTGCACCCATTTTCTTCACTGGACAGTATGTCTTGGCAGCTGTATCGGTGTGGATGTTTTGTTGTTTGGTCTGGGGATGAAAACCAGGGCTCTGCGCAGCCCGCAGCCTGCCAGCCACACGATTTTTTAGCCTTTTTATTTTTAAAATATATATATATATCAGTGTGATTTTACTGGCATTTCTCTTATTTTGAAAGACGTTGAGCATCTCTTGTCTGCTTAATATCCGTCTAAGTAGCAGTAAAAGTAAGAGTGCCAGTTCTATGCTTTGAGTGCTGGTTCTCCGCCTGCCTCACACAATCCCGAAAGGTTTCCGTTGCCTCTTTCCGTCTTTTGCTCAGTGAATTGAACTGCTGTGCTTGGGCTCCCAGCCAGACGCCAGATTCCGGAGACTCCCTGCTGCTTTCTGGTGGGTGCCGGGAGAGGGCGCCTCCGAGCTGGGTTGCCTGTGGCGGCCCGCCCGGCTCCAGCTCCTGTGGTCCTCCAGGGGAGAGGCCGCTTGCTCCATTCTTCCCATTTCCTCCTTCACATTTGTGTGCTGTGTTTCTTGCTAAACCTCAGTGCAGGTAGTAAAGACACAACGTTAGCCTGCATGGCAAGCCCCTGAATCTTTTGCGATCTAAGCCACTTCTCAGTTCTTTCAGTGTAGTGCGGGGGTTGGAGCTCAGGGTTTCTGTGTATGCTGGGCGAGCCCTCTACTGCTGAGCTGTATCCCAGCACCAGTGGTAAGTGTTTGAAACCGAGTTTATCAAATTCATTCTATTTCCTCCAGATATAGTGTATAAACCAAATACAATACCTCAATAGCTACCTTTCTTGACACTGACCCGCAAAATTGTATTTAGCGGGTATAATATGATGCTTTGAAGTACATCTAGAGGTGCAGTCACATGATACGTGCATTATCTCTGGTGGCCTCAGTAACGTTTGACATTAGCAAGTCTTAGCCTAATCATACCGAGCCTTGCTGTAGAGGGCTCGTGTGCGAACAGCTCCGCTCCCAGTGGGTTTATTTTGCTTGCGGGAAGTTTTCAGCCATTGTTTCGCTCAGAGCACTTTTATCCCCTTGCTCCCTCCCTCTTCCCCTGCTCCTGTGATAGGAAATAAATCTTTTGTTACAATACCAGAGGCTTTTTTATTTTTAATGTTTCTGTTTTCTCTCTTGTTCCCTTGAGTGATTTCTACCGATCTGTCTTCCAGATCACTGAATCTTTCCTCTGGCCTTTCCAGCTTGCTCTTGAGCCCACCCACTGAGCTGTTCTTCTCAGTTACTTTTCGGTTCTAGAATTTCCATTTGGTTCTTCTTTATAGTTTCCACCGCTGTGCTGAGTCCGTGTTTTCATTGTGACTAGCGTGTTTGTACTTGTTCCCTGAGGCCTTTGTTGTTTTGTTCTGTTTCTTTAAGGCTGGTCTCTAGATGTAGTTCAGGCCTGGCTAGAACTCAATACGTACCCCAGGCTGGCCTCAAACTCATGATCCTCCTGACTCAGCCTCCAGTGCTGGGATTACAGGTGTGCGCCACCACGCCAGCTCCACTGAAGCCTTTCTGTGGTGGGAGATTTAAAAACCTTACAATTCTAATAGTTCTGTCGTGTCAATCTTGGCATCTGTGGACACTTTTCTACTCGGTTTTGAGCTCATTCTGGTTCCTGCTGATGGATGCCCAAGGGAAACCTGGACTCCTGTACTATGTTCTGAGACTTTGGTTTGCACTGGCATTGCCTTGTCTGAGCAAGGCGGTCATGTTGCTTCCGTGCCCAGGAGGGAGGAAGTGCCGGCTCAGCCTGTGACACCTGTGCTCAGTGAGACTGCTGCTCTGCTGACCGGGGG